AGCGTGACGTCACATAACACGATTCGTGTCAGCTCTTCGTAGACGTTCCCTCCCTCCCGTTTTCCCTCGGGGGGTGGGTACGGCTACACGTAGGCTACCTTGGGTTTATTCCTAAAGTATCTTAAAATTTCACAAATTTCAGCCTAGATATTCTGTTCTTATAAAATGTATTCTTTAAAAAAAAAAAAAAAAAAAAAGAGTGTACTGAAACATTTGCATGTCAGTTGTGAGTGACAACACAGTGCTTCACGTTCTGTCTGAGTTCCTGTAATAATGAACATTAATGTGAAGTCATGATGAAATTTTGAACGTAACACAGTAACCTCATATCAAGATAACAGATCTCAAAGTGGTACGAAGTCCACATTCTGCTAGCATTTTAGGATCTCAAAGCCAGTAGTCTAGTAGTAGTAGCTTGTAGTCTAAGCCATTTTGAATTAAAATCTTCCCCTAGACTAAAGAGACACTGTACAAACAAAGCCCACAGCCAATCCGGTGGCATTTACTTAATGAGCGCACAGCGTATGTGCGTATGACCTATATTAATATAGGTCACGTGTCAGTCATTGCCAGCACGTATTTCTTCAGATGCAGGTAAAACGGATGTCGTTTGCTCTGCAGGTAAGGAATTGCTCACCATCTTTATCAAAAACCAGCGCTGTTAAGTGAAAGTCCAATATGATATAGCTGGTTTGTGTATATACCGTGCTTGCCTGTTTATTTACTGTATAGTATGCATTGAGAATCATTTTACAACCTTAAGCATTAATGTTTTCTGGCGATTAAGGACCTCGTAGCAAATGCTCGGTCATTTAAACTAAGCTTGAATTTTAATAACGGGCTGTGTCGACGTCCAGTTTTCTTAAATAGCTTTTTCTCAAAAGTGAAGGCAATTTGTTGACGTGAACCTTCCAAAATACGTTTTATTGCCGTTCTGAAATTAGTTGCAGCACTCAAGTTATTGTCCTCAAACGTCTATTCTGAAGAGTTTTCTTTGTATATAGTATTAATTATAATCATTCTCAAAAACAGATCGACACCCAAAACTGAGGCTTTCCAATTTTCAATCAGTCCTTATCAAGCTTTCCAGAATCTTTTGAACTGATCCTAACACAATTTAGCGTCAAAGCATTTCATTGGCGTGGGAAATGTTACAGCTAAGTTACACGGTCCCACATACGGAATTTCAATGATTGAACTCTACATTCAACGTAAACATAGACTTCCTCTTGTCTATTTTGTGCTGCAGGTGAGAGAAATTACTTTTGTACTGAAAAGCTATTTGCTTCAATTTTACATTGATAAAATTATCATCGACGAAGCCAATTTTGAATCTGTTAGTAATTTCAGAGTTGAAGCCCTATAAACTAGAAGATTTTTAAATTGTTTTCAATTGTAAACGTCCATTGTGAGGATTTTAATAACTTTACCTTCCTGAAAGAGAAGAAATGTATGGACACAGTTGGCGTATGAGAAAATAGTTGAAACCACATTCAGCTTTTTCTCCAGACGAGAGCCTTCCATTATTTTTCGTTATGTTATTGAACGCGCGAGAAGAAATAACTATTTGCACCCGCCATCGTATGCAAAATATCGCGACGGTGGAAAGTTAGCTTTTCTTGTTTTTTTTTTTTTGTTTGCAATGTAAATACACATTGACAAAAGCAGACAGCATCCCAAAGTTTTCAATTTTCGGATGATAATCCGCGTGTACCAAAATTCTTAGAAGTAGCAATGACAGATGGTTGTTCATTCAGCATTTCAGTTTAGTTCCTGAATAGATGAAAGAAAAGAAAAGAAAAGAAAAGCTCTGGCAGCTAGAAAAAAGTTATTTCGAATTTTCACCTGCTTTCTTCGGGTGCCAGAAAATATTGCCTTGCTTCGGCCAAAAATTCTTCCTTCGATGTTACGAAAAAAAAAATGTGTACGATATACGAGGTGAATTTTTTTTATTATTATTTTGTTCTCGCGATGGTGTCGCACAGAAGAGGTATGCATTTTCTTCTCACAAATGGTCTTTGATTAAAAATCTGGGTTTTGGTGATAAGAATATGTTAGAGAGCCGCTATTGAGACATCTGGTGTTCAATTTGACGGTCTCCGTCACGTTTTGACAACTCACATCCATTATAGGAAATTTGATCGTTAATGGAATATGTTTGGCCTTTGCAGCGTCTGAATGACGTTTAGATGTAGTGACCTACTAAACTTCATATTTTGTTAACGACTTATACCTGTTTTCAACTGCTTTATTTTATTGTTTGTTGGTGATATTTAATAATTTTACGGTTGTATTGATATGTTTTACACCAGGTGAGGTGAGTCAGTGAAGTTTTCTCGTCAACACCGTTTCCTAAAAAGTTACCAGTTTCTATGGAAACAAATTGTTAACCTACAACAATGAGGAGTTTCTATTAGGGGTTTTCGGGATATGGAAAATTTAGGTAAAATGCTAATGGGATACGGGATATTTAGGTAAAATGTTAACGGGATACGGGATATATAGGTAAAATGTTAACGGGATACGGGATATATAGGTAAAATGTTAACGGGGTACGGGATATACAGGTAAAACGTTAACGGGATACGGGATATATAGGTAAAATGTTAACGGGGGATGGGAAAATACACTCTTTTATAAGAATATATTTGGTAACGATATGGAGGCTGAAATTTGCGAAATATTAAGAATATTTTAAGAATATAATTGAAGATATAATATAATTTTCTGTGTAGAAAATTTGTAAATACAATACAATTGTATGTTTTTAACTAAACCGTATAAAATTCTTCCTTTCTATAAACGGCAAAACTAGCCAAAAGCAACAAAAACAGCATGCAGCAACATGCAGAGCGTGTTCGATGCTAGTAACATTTCTGCAAGAAGTTATTTGCCTCATATCCGGTTTTAATGCCTGCAGTCTGGCTCCAAAATTACACCATGCATCCATACACCAGCTACATTCGAAAACAGAAATGTTACACACTGAAATCTAACAATATTCACAACTTTTAATCACAAGGATATTTTCAGCCTAAAATCGGTAGAAAAATAAGATTAAAACATTCAGCATTTAACACCCGCCCCCTCCCCCATGGGGCCTCAATGAGGTTTTCCCGTCTCAGAAATTACTAGAGCTAGCTTATTTTTGAGTCAGCACGTCGAACACGAACTCTGTGCAAAGGCACACAATCGTGAAAAAACGAAAATCTACAGCGCACAGATAGCCAGTGTCCAGCGAGGTTAACATTGTACGAGAGAGTGTCGCTTGGTTTACATAAAAGGTGTCCTTGAGAACAAAATAGTTGAGCTTTTCGCCGAGACAGCAAAATTGTGTGTAATAATTGGGTGTCGTATTAAACACGTGCGCCAGGAGAGCCGGATATTAGTGTATTTAGATTCATGGGTGAATTTGACTCTGGTATTTTGGTTTGAAAAGTCAAAGCTCTCTAACTGAACAGCCCTTGAGAAGCCTGTGCATACTATATCAACTAACTGATGTTAGCTTACTTGTCGTGATTAACTGAATGACGCACATCTATGTCAGGATTAGTTCTAAGAATTTGTTAGTAGATCAAGAAAAATATCTTGGTTGATCATTTTCATTATTCTTGCCACCTTTGCATTAGCGTTCTACGCTGAAATTTTAATTCTTGGTCATTTTTGCTTCTAGATAGATTTTTAATCTTATTTCCATCGCATCGTCTCATTCGAAACAATTGAAGGAGAGTCAGTTTGATGGCAAAACGTGAGACAATTGTTTATCACGATTGCATAAAATATGCGTTTTAGCTTAGTTAAACAAGATTAACAGTGTATCATTTTAAAAATCTTAATGGCAACTCTTTTCCTTTCACAGTGTCAAGATTTTTTATTCCACCAATTGCGAGCTTTCTTTTAATGGAATGACAACATGTGCTCTGCAGGGCGGTGACATGTGAATTTTAAAATCATCTGTACGTGATTGGCGTTTGAAGTAGTTTGCGCTTTCATTAATTTGACGACGAAGCTTCCGATTCGAGATTTAATCAGTGGAATACAGCTAACTGCATCTGATCAAACCGTCAGAGAATTCGCAACGCTGTTGATCGCAGAAAGCACGTCCTTGGCGAAAACATACTTTCAAGCTTGATACATTGACGAATCGAAGGGCCAACACCTTCCGAATCGTATTAATCAAGACATCCACGTCCTCAATTCTGTTCGTGAAGTGCGGCATCAAAGCGATACTTCGTTTTCATTTAATTGTTTTTATTTCAAACTGGCGTTAGTTTTGCGTCAAACGGGGACACTCTCATACCGGTAAGTTGTCTTAATATTGTGGCTGCTTACTGATGTAACTGTCTTCCCGAACACTTGAACTGATAGTAATCTAGCAGTGATTGTTTTTTTTTTTTCTTTCTTTCTTTATCTGGGAAATGGCCTTATAAATTATCTTTGACATCATTCTAATGCTTATTAATGTCAGATGTGGGACCTCTTCGAACTGCATGGGGAGAAAAAGGCTAGTAAGAGTAATTTTTTCCCCGTCGATTTACGTCAACTGGAAAAATAAACGAATCTTCCAGTTGATAAGTCCATTTGATAAAAAAATAACAGCAAAATATTACATTTTTCTTGAAAGTTTTCTTTCATCCGCACTGCTGCTCGAATTAAGACAAAATGAACTACTGGTAATTTACTAGTATTAAACAAATTAGAGTTTTTTGATATTGAGAGCCACTCATAATTTCTCTTTCTACAATGTTAACGCTGAGCTTTTGGTGATGCTTTACGATGGTGTTCCTAGTTGATTTTCTTCCTAATTCTCGAAGCACTTGTTCGTTTGAATAATACTGATATTTTAAGGAGAAATTAGTAAGCTAAGTTTCCGTTCGTCTTTGGAGAAAAAGTCACTCTAGGAGACCAATTGCTGCATGAAGAATCTCGATCAATTAAGCCTACTGTTAGATGCTTCATGGTGTTTATTTTTCTCAATGCAAATGTCAGAAACTGACTTGCTACTGTTAAGACACCTTTGCTAGTTAAGAATTTAACTTTTGTTCAAATGACCTGAAATAATTACAAAGAAAGAGCACTGAAACATTTTCCATTTCATAAGTCGGAGTTATTTGAGGTGTTAAAATAATTAGGTAGCATGATGCCATTGGCTATCCGGGGTCGAAAAATGCTTTTTGCTTCCGTATAACCTTTAATTTCTGGGCCGATAGAAAAAAATAATTTCATGCAAATCTAAAAATATCCGACTTTTAATTACTTTTGTGTGAAATGAGAGTATTTATGTCTATTTATGGCTTTTAATTATCAACTCTCTGATTTTTTTTTTATTTTTTTATTTTGCTGTAAAAGATAACCTTAAAATACCAGGAATTTGCCATTTTGAAAATTGCCATTATCTTCTGTTTTAGTAAGGCCGAGCTATCTAGTTTATTTCTTGAAGTTAATGAGTAAAAATTTTAAAATATTTTCTGCTGATTATCATGAATAACATATTTGCTGTAATCTGTAATAAGTAATGGTAAAAGGAAAGAGTGGAGGCCTGTTCGGTCCGCAATCATACGAGTGATTAATTAAGAAAACCGCACGACCGCGAAGCGGGAGTCTGATATGGTTAATTCTCTCATAATCGCAAAGTCGTGTTACCGAATCATCAAAGCTATATCAAAATTTGTAACAAAGAAACGAAAAGTTTAAACTTTTTGTTGAAAAAAAAATCACGTAATAAACTTAACAGGGGGGAAGGACCCCATGCAGGTGCAATTGTCAGACACGGCAGCCCGCGCAAATGAAATAAATTGTCCAATAATTAACAATTATTCACCGAAAGGGAGGTAAATATCCACAACTTTCACCGACACCGAAGTGAAAAGTTGTTTTAGTACATAAAACGCAAGTTAAATACTCAGCCTCGTTTATCCGAAAAATTTCTCCTCGGTAACTGAAGCGAAACGAGAAGCCATTTTGTTTGTTTACGTTTACTCAGAGTAAATAGTACTTGCTATTCAGCTCCGAGCTGGCCAATCAGAATACATTGAAAGCAATATTTACTTGTGTGGTATCCACTAACACCAGACATGATGCGTGAACTGTGCAATAAATGCTCTAACATAAAGGCCTGCTGATAGCCAGTTGGATCTGACAAGTTTGTAATAGTTATCAACGATGAAGAATATTGTTCTCTTGAGTTTTGAATTCTAAAATTTGAATACTAAAAGTTTTGAATACTAAAAGTTCGAAATTTATCGGGCATTTCATATGACACTGAGTCAAACTTCAGAAAACCATCGTCTCGTTTCGGTTATTTATATTTTATGCCATTTTCACTCTCGCCAACTTAACTAATTCACACTTTTTAGAGGGTCAGTGGTCGGCCACTCTTCCTCAGAATCAAAATCATTATCGTTACATTTACTATGATGTGCACGAATGAATTTGGCTTCTCAAAATCACGCTACCAAAATTAAATTGTCTTGAATTTATTATTTTTAGATAACTCCTGTACAAATTATGTCTGCAATTACTAAGAATTTAAAGCTTGATTTTCAAAGTCATAGACTTGTTTGTAGAACAAGGCCGGTTTTAGAAACATCGAATTCCGGGTCGTATTGAGAAAGAACACAAACCCATTGCACTTTTCACAAATTGTAGGCAGCTAAAACACATAAGGAAATGAACGATAAAACAATATTGCAGTATACTATGAAAAAAATGATTTTTAAACCGACACTGCACTTTCTGCTAATTGGTAAAGAACAAAAGATGTCAATTTAGCTGTTAACCTGCGATGAAATTGAGGTGATCCAAAAAACATTTTTACTTACGATTGTCAGGGCGTCTTTTAAATCAAGTGATTCGTTATTCAAATGTCGAAGAAAAAGGTTTGGTCGGTTTCCCCGCACCAGTTGGTGATACCAACGTTTATATTTGAAAGCAAGGAGGTTGGGTTCCAGTTTCCAAGGAGCTCCTGGTGAAAAACATTGCCGAAAAAATGAAGGCACTATAACTTTTTGCACGTTGGTACAATGCTTTCAAATTCTTTGAAAGACGCATTTTGGAATGGATATGGCAATTACCATTTCTCAAATAAGGTATTCTTATTTCGTTGCACAACTTTAAAAGCTTTTTTAATCTTTTTGGTCACATAGAAGTCAAGAGAAGACGGTATAAAATTTTATCACAGCTCCTTAGCAAAGTTTGTCGCGATTGCTTTGTCTATATCCCTGCAAGTTAATTATTTCCGATTATGTCGTGCGAACATCATTTTGCAAAACTATTGTATAAATTGCATGTAAGACAAAGCTGAAGACTACGAATCGGGTTTGCTTTTAATGCATGTCGATGCAGATTATGGGATGATAAGGAAGGAAACTGGCAACACAGGGAAATTCTTGCAAAACGTGATCATTATGTTAGAGTAATAATAAAGTGAGTGACATTTAAATGAATCAATGGATGTTATGACGATGAACGATGGAAAGTCGAAAATATCCGCAGACATTCCATTTAGCAATCCCACTTCGTTAGAAAAATAATACCACAAATTTAGAACAGAAATGGTTCAAGTAAACTACTCTAAACCTCGCTTATTTAAACGAGATCGCAAATCGTTTTGCGCAACCATACAAAGTACAAGCGAGAAGAGCAGCTGCTTTTCCATGTTTTATTGTTCTGAGTATCCGCACTATTGAAATTGCAGTTGAAATGTCATTTCGAATTCTAATCTCGAGTAGGAGTCGATTTAAAGGCTGAGTGATGTCAATCATTCCACCAAAGAACTTGATTTATAATAAAATATCCTTTATGTTGCTGAGAGCACCTAACCGTGGGAGTGCTGTACGTTCAAGAGGCTTAAACTGACAAACGAAGTTTTAGCTAAGAGCTGACATTCGGTAAAACCACAACATCCGATGTGTCGACTATAGTTCAATCAATACCGCCAGAATACAATGTACTGTAAGCGTGTATGAGATACGAAAATGTCATGTACCCCTTGACAGACTTTCCTTGACTTCCTCCGTTAATTAAAGATCCGTACGCTTTCCGCAAACGAGTCAAAGAACGTTTTCATTCATAATTGATAAGGGTTCATTTGAGACACGTTCTTGCAAACTGATCCCTTGCAACGATTTTACGAGGTAAGTTCTGGTAATATCGTCGGGGATTGATGAGAATGGCTGGAAAAATAATGATTTACAGTTTATTCTCGAACCTTTGGACGTAAGAGTAAGCGTCAAATTAATGCAATTGAAATCTTTTATTGATTTTGATTCAAAGACTCGCACTTCAAGGGCGATAAGATTTATTTTTATTATGTCGTATCTCTTCGAGGCCATTCCCAGGTTTCACGTTTTGGTTAGTTTTCATGTAGTTCTTATATAAATGAACATTCTGTCATTTTAGTTACTTTGTCCATCACGTACATTGTATTTCAGTGTAGTTGAGGCTACAATAGGCATGCATCGCGTACAAACATTATAGGCGGCACTGCTCGTAATGATCTAGTACAGATTACATAATAAGTTACTGTACCTTTCCGATAACACCCGAACTCTGCTTAATCAACGGTTTCTTTTCTCGCTGCTGTAAATGATCTTACCGAGTCTCTCAGGAAACAGAAATTTACGTCAACATGTTTGAAAGGTCATGTCTGTGGGTTATGATTGGCAGATTTCAATCCATTTTGTCTTTCTTGTTTTATTTTTTTTTTTTTCAAAGCGTAATTAAGATTGGGTGGCGGCAGACAATAGAGCGGTTTTCACTTGAGTGTCGAAAAGTGATTGATGTTATATTACTACGCTTCACGATCTGCTTGAAAAACGTGCGTCACTTTTTCATTTAATCAGAAGTAAAACCAAACCCAATCTTAACTCTATCGCACATATTTTCCCGCGCTTCGCGTCAGTTACAACCATTTACTTCGAGCTTTGATACAGAGGATATCCTCATACAGAGGATCCAATGTTTGGAATCTTTTAGAACCATCCGCTGTCAGCGCCAGAGATTATGCTAAAAGGGCAAAAAAGTCTCCCGCCCTCAGAAACTTGAACTTTAATGAAGAGTCACCGCAGATTGGTCCCCAATTTGACAGTGAGTTCGTCTTTTATTGATTTTATTCATATCTTTTTTGCATTTCTTCAATTTTTTATCACCCCGTTAACATTTTAACACGGCCCCATAAGCTATATTAGCTTTAAAACCCACCGTGTTTAAATGAAGGGTGTTTTTGTTGTTGATTGGTTCAATGGATTTTCTGTGTCCTTTGTGATTGCCTAGATGGATTACTTTGGTCTTGGTTTATGACTTATAACACGCGAATTTTTCTCAATCAAAGGCTGCGTGTTTTACTGCTGCAATCATCTCCACAGATTTCTTAGGAAACAGAAATTTACTTCTACGGGTTCAAATGGTCACGTCTGGGAGTTGTGCTTGGTAAAATTTCGATCTATTTTGTTTCCTTTTTTTCGAGTCAATATTATGATAGAATGACTTAAGCCAATAGCGCAATGATTAGTTGCATGGATTTTGAACTTCAGAGTTCGCGTGTTAGTGAAAGGGGAAGCGAAAGTGACTTTCACATCGTCTCTTAGCTTCCTAACAGAAACACGTGCATATACACATCTCTAGAATATGAACTCTTAACTTATTGGATCTTTAATAACTGCAACCAAAATAGGACACGCCATCTAATAGGGATTTTACGAAAACCACAACTGAACGTCACTTAACAAAAGGTCAACGAGCAGAACAATGGCTGCGCGCGTGCGTTATAATTTCTTTGAAGACTTTTTTGCCGTCCTCAGCAAATTTAGGGAACTTCAGCAAACCACGACGGCGACACCGACAAGAACGTCATTAAACAAACGGTTTAATGAGCAAAACAATGGTCTGTGTCTACGTTTTGAATCTTGGTACATTTCGAACCCGTCATCTGCAAAAAAACAACGTGAAATGACCAAGTTCTAAGCATTATTTTGGAGAACGTGAACCACAATGGCTAATTTTTCACATCTTTCTTTGGAATTGAACGCCGTCATTTCATATTTAGCCTTTGCTAAATATGAAATTCTTTGCTGAAACTTCCTGATAACGTGAAATGACCAAATTATGCGATCTCTGGAGAAAGAATTTAACACTATGTTCCATATTCAGCCTCGAATACTTCAGAGTATCGCGAGATTCATATCTAAATATGAATTCGTTTTTTTAATGGACCTGTCTTCGGCGTCGCCGTAGTGGTTACTTAAATTGCTAATTACATTTTCTGTTCAGCTAAAATTAACTTAAAAAACCTTTTAAGCTTCTACGACTGATTAAACTCCCTATCTCATTGGTGTATTATATTCCTATATTTTATAATTATTTTAACAGAACGTGAAAATTAGGACGGCTAACAGTTTGGTTATATTAGTATAAAGCCTGAGTATTTTAAAATGTTGAAATATAATTGACAGTAATTTGCCCATGAATTTTAAAAGATTACAAATGAGCGTCACTGACATTTTCCAAAGTGCCACTTTGTGTCATTTTGATTCTCTACGTGATTTCTACGAGGGTAAACGTTCTTCATAACGTTAATCACGAGTGAGTTTTCAATCTAGTTGGAGATGAAAGAGTGTTTTATACTCAACCATACCTGGATTGGGTGTAAAACAAGGAAGCGGCAATTACAAAGCGCTAATGAGGGCTCAAACCGGTAAAATTTCGAAATATATTTGACTGTTTTTTTGTTTTGTTTTTTTCCCAAGGATTTTGACCCGTTATTGACAAGATAGGAAAAACCTGCCAGACTTGAAATAGGTAGCCACAAAATTTCTTAATAATCTATTGGTTTCAACAGAGCGTATATTTCCTTTTTTTATCATTATATTATTTCGCGAGCTAAAATCCTTACTTCATATACTTTGACTGGTTAAATCAAATAGGAGACAAGAAAACTTTGTCAAAACGAGATATCAAAAACTTTGACACATGGTAGTAGTGTGGTGTACATCACTGCGTACTGATTTTCTCAGTGCATTAGAATACGAGTAGTCCCTCTTTTGCTTACTTCATTGAGTGTGACACGAGAAATAAAGCGCCGGAAAAACGTGGCGGCAGCGCGAAATCTAAATAAATCTCCCTTTGAAATACGCGCGCTTCCCGCCTCCAGATTTCGCGCGGAAATTTTTGGGGGCAGCTTGTTCGTGTCACGCGCATGAGAGACCAAGCGAAAAAGGGACTGCTCATAATCTACAGTGAATTGATTGTATGTAATTTTTTTTCTCTTTGTCCAGGTGAAACTAAAGTGGCAAATCGTGGTCTTTTGTGACTGAGTGGTGGCAGGAAAAACAAAACGTCATAATGTCGGCTGCGCTTAGTAACAACTCCAACACAAACTGCAGTGGAGAGAATTGCCAACAAAACCAGCCAAACCAGACTGACAACACCGTCGACATGATCTTTCTTTGGCTAATCATTATCGTTGGTGTTTTAGGCAACTCATTGGTCCTTACAGTAGTAAAGATGATTCGCAGCATGAGAACAACAACCAACTACCTCCTGGTCAACGTAGCTGCTGCAGACATAACCACGCTATTATTTACGGCCGTCCATGTTATCATTGGAAGTGTGATTGGAAGTGCCGGCAGATACCCTTCGTCGCCGGCACTTCTTAGTTTCCTTTGTAAGTTTATCTTCAATAACAGCATCGTCATTGTGACACTGTTAGTGACGTCGCTGACGATGACAATTCTGGCCTTCGAGAGATACCACGCTCTGTTGAAACCGCTGACTATGTCGGGTAGGCTCACCACCGGCAATATCGCTTACGTCATTAGCGCCCTCTGGTTGGTTGCCATAGCGATGGTAACTCCGATCTTTGTAACTTTTGATTACGATTTGGGAACGAGGCAGTGCCCTAAATTTGTCAGCAACAAAATGGTGATCTATATTGACTGTCTGTTTGTCATTCTCACTATAATTCCATTTACTGTGATCGCTTTTTGCTACTCCCAGATCATCTATGGTCTTTACTTCAACAACACCATCTGTAACAACAAAAGTGAGAGAGGCGACACTCGAGAGGAAGCGAAAGAAAAGAGAAGATTGGTGATCCTCCTCATCTTGTTGACCGTGGTCTTTTTCATAGCTTTTATCCCGTACGGTATTCTGATAATACTGAATTTTAACAAGATAAGAAATACAAACACTCTTCTCCTGAAATATTCTGCACAGTACCTCACGCTACTGAGCTGTTCGGTGAACCCGTTCATCTACGCGTTCCAAAGTTCCAGTTACAGGCGCAGCTTCGTGTTTCTAATCAAGAAAATATTTTGCCGTGACACAACCGTGGACGCCATTGAACTCCTTGAAATGCGCACTCGTACTTCCCTGCGAAACGCGTGATTCGCTGACAACTGCAAAGATCGATTGGTATACTTCACACTGAGGCTGAAAACGAGATGCACCGCAGCGTTCCTAGAGCGCTTTGCAGGTCAAAGTTTTATTTAGGAACAATTGCAGGCATAGCGGCAAGTCATAAGTAGAACAAAGGCTGCCATGAAACGGATTATACCATGATCACTAAGTCCCTTGCCATTTACATAGATTGTTTCTGTCAAGGAACTATCGGCTGATAGTTGACCCGCGGAAATTGGATGTTCTTAACACAAATTAAATATCTGTCCGAAAAGCGAAGCTTCAAGAGCAGCTACGCTAGTTTTAGGAACATCAAGTTTCTAAGGGGCAACTATCAGATCGATAGTAATTCCGAGACATAAATACTCTTAGTCTTTTTTGTTTACCACTAAATGTTCTTCCGCGCGCCACTTGTTCTTGCCGCTTTTAGTTGTTTACAGTAGTAGAAATAAACTGTTGTTGTTGTTGACTTCAAAAATCATATTGAATTATTTTCAACTTTTTCTAGATGCAAGGCGTGAAAGCCAAATATAAAATTTGAAAGAGAAAACAGACAAAAACCCATTTAGTACAATGCAGATCAATCAAATGTTTATTCATGCATTTAGCCTGTTTACAGAAAGATTTTCACGGACGAGTACTATCCATCCGGGTATTTTCCTCGGACGGGCACTATGGGCTGATAGTGTCTCTCCGCCAGTGAACATTATTGTGCTACGTGATCAACTTAAACCAATAAGAATCAGAGAAAATTTATTGGTGAACTATAATTAATAATAGGATTTCACCAACTCAGTAATGTGTGCTAATCAAATAGACAGAATCTCCAGTATAGACACAATTTCATTATCTCTCTGGCTGGCACGATCCTCCTTGAAGAGACATATTGAAAAAAGAAAGTGTGATGCGCTTTCCCAATTTTTGACAGTAAATTATGGATTATAGGGTCTTATGTATTTGGAAATGGCCACACGAGCCTAATTTGTCCGCCATATTGACGCGACAAAACAGCGCGGCGACTAAATTATCCTAAATTTGTGACGTCATAATTTGCCACTTCCATATATGAAGTATATATCGATATAAGAAAACGGAGCATACTGCCATGGTAATAATACTTTAAAAGAACAGAGTGAACACGTAGTCAAGCAGTGCATGTAGGTAAATATCATTCATTGTGTGATTTCTTAAAATTAAATACCAGAATACCTGAATCCTTTCATCATTTGATCTTAACTCCGTTTTTACGAGGCAAACGTCAAAGAAAGTAGCCTACAAGCCTGGCCTCGACTACCTTTGGTCGAAACATCAGCGCTTCGCCCCAAAAATTTATCCCCAGCCCCCGCCTTACCCCTCCGCCTCCCCGGCCCGTACGCCTATGCCAAGGAGTATGGTTTTTTAGCCGGAAAATGGGTTCCACACAGATTCGTAATTTTGGTCTAAACTTGTGTATGGTGTTTTAGTGAAATACACATAAATGTATTACAATGTACTTTCATCGGCGCGAAGAAAAATAAACAGCACGCAATGCATGCAGAAGCGATGACGTTTAAAAATTGTTCCTAGAAGATTGAAACATGAGCAGACAAACTGATTCTTAAACTTTTGGGTTAGACATTTTAGGAGTTTACATTTAGGGTAGTCCATTGGTGGTTCATTCAAGTAGTTCATGTACCAGGTCCATCTTGTCAGTCCATGTACTAGGGGTCAGCGAAATGTACCAACCCAAATAAAAAGCACTCCGCTGAAAAGTTCCTCTCTCTGAAATTAAAACCTTATTATCTTTAAAGATATTTGGCAAAGCTAATTACCTCACCGGAAATTAATTTGTTGTTTTAACCATATAGTTGTCCAAGAGAAAATCATTTTCTCTTGACTTGCCATATCGCGTGTGCGACCCACTTGTCTATCTAAAATTGTATGTATCGAAGATATGTTATTATGAGTTTGCCCGTGAGCGCGAATTTATCCGACACCGTATAAACCAAAATCCTACCCCAAATCTTCGTTTAAAAGCTGATATTAAAAGCACTCCGCTGATCCTACAAACAGCAAAGGAAAGCCGCAAAGGAAA